AACCGTATCCACCTTATTCTCTAAATCAGCATAGTCTGTACCCATGATCAATATATCATCGAGATAAGCCGCGGTACCAGGAATGTCTTGTAACATAGTGTCCATAACTTGTTGGAAGATTGAAGGGGCAGTCTTTATTCCAAAAGGAAGTCGGTTATATCGGAACAATCCCTTGTGAGTGTTTATTGTCAAGTAATGCTTACACTCATCCGCTACCGGAATCTGTAGATAAGCGTCTGATAGGTCTAATTTCGCAAAATACTTACCCCCATTCAGTTTCGCAAATAAATCCTCTGGTACCGGCAATGGGTATTGATGGGCTTCAAGCGCTTCATTTAATCCAGTTGAATAATCTGCACATAACCGGATACTTCCACTAGGCTTTTTAACAATCACTATTGGAGCTGCCCAATCAGAAAAGTTTACTGGTTCGATTATTCCACTTCTTTGCAGACGCTCTAATTCTTGTTCAACAATAGGTAGCGCTGCATAAGGTACCGGACGTTTTGGTCTGAAGACGGGGGTGACTCCCGGTTTAAGAATCAATAGTGCTTTAACCTTTTTGCATTCCCCCAACTCTTCCGTAAACACTTGACTGTGTCTTTCCAATACAACACTCTTCAGATCCTTTTCCACCGGTTTACTGGTTCTCACTGCGCTGCATATGTGGTTAATGGGGTGATTTGCTAATTGAAGTGCTTCTATCAAGTCTAGACCTAGCAAATCTAGTCCTGGATTCTGTGTAAGATATAAAGTTGCATTCGTTTTCGCATTTCCTTTCGAGACTGTGCAACAAACCTCTCCAACAATATTTAATTTTCCTCCAGATGCACTGTGAGCTAACTGGGTTGTTGGGAGCACCTGTGGTTTACCGATAAGATTCCAAGTTCTCCGACTAATAAGTGTGATGTCAGAAGCGGTGTCGAGTTGCAGGCGGGCACGCTTTTTATTTATATCCAAGTTTACATACTTTCTCTGGCGGCAAATTCGTGCTCGATTATGTGATACCAATATTTTGTTAGTTCGAGCACTAAATCTGTATTTCTTCGAGTAGGGTTTTAAAGAATGTCGTTTATGGGTTCTTTTTCTGCAGCAGTTTTCTTTATGTCCCTTGCGATGACACTTGCTACAACAATGTTCTTTATATGGGCAGAACCTTTTATAATGCCAACCACCACAAGACCAACATGGAGATGAAGGCTGATTATCTGTGTGCGATGCCTTTCTTGAGCAAGAATCGTTCTTTCCGCTTACAGCACGAACGTATGGCAACTGGCCATTATTTTCGACCATCGAAGTGTCATGCTTTAGGTTTACCAATCTCTGACACTCTGTGGTTACTTCTTGTAGTGTCATATTCGGACATTGTTCAATTTTACTCAAAATTCTAGTTCTAATATCGGCATCTTCGGGAGATTGGAGGCTGCACACAAATACGAGACACTTAAACTGGTCTTCTGTCATTGCTGATAGTTTGAAGCGCTCACATTCACGGTTTACTAGACCCGCATGCTTCACCCAGTCATCATCACCTGCTTTTGTCATCTTGAGACATTGATAACGAATATTAAACAAGGATGACTGTTCAGCAAAGATTTGCGACAAAATTTCAATCGTTGCATCGAAAGAAAAATCTCTTGGATTCTTTGGAAGGATAAAGTTACTGTAACGTTCATGTTCAACAGTTCCAAGTTTTCGCAAGAGTATTCTGACCTTAGCGGCGTCATCAAGTTTTTTGAGGTCGACCTTGAATAAGTCTTCATATTTCTTGAACCAAGTTTCAAAAGTAATGCCGGCTGAACCATCAAAATTAAATTCATGGATAGAATTAACAATCTGGTCAACATGAGATTTGAAGGGATCATCTGTAACTTCCTTTTGATCCAGGTTCATTTTCTGAGTTAGCATCTCTATCATGCGCATCTGGAACTGTTCAAAACGTTTTTCTTGGCGTTCCAATAAGGCTTCAAATTGTTCAAAGGTAAATGACATATTGGTACAATAACCCGTCGCCAGATGTTATAACTTGAAAAAGCTGATTTTTCTTGATACAACCGCGTATAACTGAGCACTAGAACACCAAACCCTTCCAAGTCGCAATGAGAAGACAGAAGACTAACGAAAGGAATATTATTCCAAACAGTGTCAAACATAGTACAAAATTATCAGGTATTTATAGTTTTTTAGTGGGAACGAAATCATCATTACAGTCTTCCAATCCGCGTACAGGGGGTTATTAGCATTATCCAATGGGGAAGCTACACGTTGGAATTCTAGAACATTCTTCCGACAGGTGATTGGATGGAACGTCTTCGGCTCCTTCTGAGCCTCTTACAGCTTCCTCGAGTTCACCGGTGGTCCGTCGTCACAATAGTTGAATTCATTAGTCAATTGAAGATGGACCACTATGGAAAATCTGGAAGAATTGGACAATCGTTTCGTTCCATTGTGGGATTCCTCAGCAGTGCACATCCACAATCTCACTTCGCGAGATACGAACTCAGGATATATCAATCTTGGGCGCGGATGATTAATCTGTAGACCACTGAACCGGCATCCAACGGTGTTAATTTGTTACTTTAACCAATTCAAAAAATCGAACCACCGTTCACTATTGTCTTTAGTGAGTTACTACCATACAACAGACCCTGGGTTCGAATCTCGCGGGGCAGGATCGTGGATGCACACTGTTGAGGAGTCCCATACTAGGATGAAATGACCGTTCAGTGCTTTCAGGTTTTTCATAGTGTTCTAGCTTCAGTTGACTCATGAATTCAACTATAAAATTACTAAAATCTCCACAAAACGCATAATGAAACAATAATGTCACTTATTTGAAGAAGACTAAGAAAATTTTACGAAATTATGGCAAATAAATGTCGACTAAAGTAGAAAATTGTACAATTTTATGGGCAGTGAATATGAAAGAGGAGTCCCATACTAGGATGACACGACCGTCTAGTGCTTCCAGGTTTTCAAGGATGGTTTAGCTTAGATCGATTCATGAATTCAACTAATAAAAAAGAATTGTTTATAAGAGAAAGTTTTAGATTGATAAGTGAACTTTCGGAATAATCTAGAATCAAGATAAACTTGTTGTTTATTATTTCATTTAATAATCTACATAAAAATTATACCCAGTATCCATAAAACTAGCTTAACCAACATTTTTTAGTCGGTGATTAAAGGTAATCGACAGGAAACCCTAGACTTAAGTTTCGTACTCGTTAGTGAGATTCAGTTGTTATCTTGAGGGAAGTGATGCCTTCAGAAAGATACGGTCCCGTATAACTCGGCTTCATAGTCGAAGACATCACCACTGAGCTATTTGGACCTCATCTAACCTCGTGAAGGATTGATATTTATTTACAACTGACTTGCCATTATTCAGTGACCAATCAATTATAAATATTCGTTTCATTCAGTTTGTGTAGTGAACAGAACACGGGTGAGGACAATCGAATGTATTTAACACAAAATTACAGAACTTGTTAATAAAATCTAACAATCATAAAGTAAATGCTTGATTTGCAAAATGTCCACCAGTTGTCTCAAAATGATTCAGACTTCATTGTTCTTGCATTTTCATACAAATTGCATCCTGTTTCCATTCTTTACTGTTCGATCCTCTTGTCTCTCTGCTACTAGACCTTCTGTTCACGACTATCATCATATACTAATTATATCAATATACGTAGCACACACCACATTTGTTGATCTTAAAACGTTTTTCGGATAGTTTAAATGCACGTTTTTGAACTTTTCGTTTCAGTATAGAACGGAAGATATTACTCTGTTTATTGAGGACTGAAGTACTTTCTGTTAGCCATATTTTATCAGAAAATACTGACAATCACTGTCTCGTAATGTGTAAATATAGAGAAGAACTATTTGTGTTGCTGAGATTTTTACTTTTTGTAGTTATCAAGTACTTGAGTAGGGAAGCTTTCAGTAATCGATCTGACTTTTTACTGATTCGAAAGTCTACTGTTTTTGTAGACACTTCTGTCTCTAATTATTTGTTAAAATTGGAAAGATCAATTACTCGATCTGACTGACATCGACTGAGCTCCTGTAAGACTAAGATGTATGTATAAATGATTGACTCCATTTAGATCGTATGAATAATTGTTATAGAAATATACATACTGCCAATTCTCGTACATAATTAATGACTTAAATCGCGTTAGTGAATAATGGAATTAAATAATTTTGAATACGTGTATTTCATACAATCGTTGACCCAGACAAACGATCGGAGAAACAAAGCGAAGAAAACGAAGTGCAGCAAAATAATGCTCAGTGGAGAAGGCGTGTGAGCCAACTCAATTCAGCAAAGTGTGAATCGATAGTTATAGTCGAACAAAAACAAGTTACAGATAAATCATGGGTAGGATAAGAAATGCATACATATACGCTTACATAAAAACAGTCAGGGTTAATAAGCGAATAAGTGACAGGGTAAAATGTGGCTTGAGAAGAATGAATAGATTGATCAGTTCAAATGCTAGAATAACCTATGTGGGCTGGCATAGTAACTGGCACTATGGACTACTGAGTAATGACCCATTTCACGTGGGACTAGAGCTTCATAGTGGTTACTCAAACTTGCATCAACACACATCCCAACATAGTGCACATGTTATCGGATCACTTACCCTAGTGATCTTATTGCAGTTTGATTAACAGAATTCGTTTAACACCAAGAAGTAATTGATATACATAACATTTGTAACTGTTCAGTGATTAATCAAATGTGAAAGGTCAATTTATATACTAACATTTATGTTGCTAATCCATTATTTACTCCTAGGTACAATCTCCCTATAAATTTTAAATAATCTACTTTAAGTTATTATATGAATCAATCGATAATCATATACTCATAACTTAACAGAGTGGCCAGATTGCTTTTTATTTGACTAAATTATAAACTAATCCAATGTTATATGTTATGTCTTTATAATCTAATCTAATTTGATTATATCGGTGACATTTATTTATGAGTTATTTAAGTGATAATTAATTATTGTGAAATAATAATAATAACAATTAGTAGTAGTAGTAGTAATAGTAGTAGTAGTAGTAGTAGTAGTAGTAGTAGTAGTAGTAGTAGTAGTAGTAGTAGTAGTAGTAGTAGTAGTAGTAGTAGTAGTAGTAGTAGTAGTAGTAGTAGTAGTAGTAGTAGTAGTAGTAGTAGTAGTAGTAGTAGTAGTAGTAGTGGTAATGGTAACAGTAGTAGTAATAGTAGTAGTGATAGTAATAGTAGTAGTAGTAGTAGTAGTAGTAGTAGTAGTAGTAGTAGTAGTAGTAGTAGTAGTAGTAGTAGTAGTGGTAATGGTAACAGTAGTAGTAATAGTAGTAGTGATAGTAATAGTAGTAGTAGTAGTAGTAGTAGTAGTAGTAGTAGTAGTAGTAGTAGTAGTAGTAGTAGTAGTAGTAGTAGTAGTAGTAGTATCTAGATATTTAGATAAACTTTCCAGTTCATTGATACAAAAAAATGTACAGAAGGAAAGGAAACAATGTTTTGTAGTTTCAGAGAAAATAAAGCATGTTCTATTATAACATGAAACCATGTATTGTTTATAAAAATTGGATTATGAATAATTATTTGATTCTAAATCAATCATGTTATTATTAGTAGAATCAAAGTTACTGAATTTAATGTTGCTTAGATAATATGTTTATTGAATTGTAAATATTGATATGAACGATGAATAGCTTTATAGAAATAATTAAATTTATCTGAGAAAGTGCAAAAACTCTAGAAGAGAATTACTTACTTATGCTTGTTACCTGTCGTGAAGGAATATAGGCCGCCCACCACCATTCTCTATCGAACTCTGTCCTGGACAATCCTTTCCAGTTGCTATTCATTCATTTCGTATCTACTTCCAATTCTCAATGCAATGAGTTTTTTGGTCTTCCATTTTTCCGTTTTCCTTCAGGATTTCAGGTAAGCGCTTGCTTTATGATCCAGTTTTATGATTTTTAGTGGCCCAAGATCTGACTGCAGTTATATCATATGTTTGATTGTTATTGATAAGCCTCGTATATAATAACGGGATTAAATAAGTGTTATATGAGAATGGATTTCCGAATACATATATTTTGTACAATCGTTGATCGGAACAGATAATCAGAGACGTAGCGAAGGAAGAGAAGAAGAGAGAGCGAAAAGAGACGGCGCTCAATGGAGAAGGCATGTAAGGTAACTCCATTTAATCAAGTAATAATTGATATTTGTAGTCGGGTAAAAATAAGTTAGATAAGTAATGTAAGATAAGAAATCTACACATATACGCTCATGTAAAAAGTCAGGGTTCATGAGTGAATCATTAGCAAGGTCAAAATGTGACTCAAGAATAATGAATTAATTGGCTTTTTCAGAAGCTGAAATAAGTTATATGTGCTTAACAAAGTAACCAACACTACAATTTACTCATCCCCCAATACCCTAGTACGGCAGAGGGTGGGGAGAGTCAGCTCTCCCTCTCTAAATGCTCTCATATGGTCACAAGTAAACAGCCACTAACAGGTAAGCCCTACTCACTGCCTTCTCGTGGTAGGGGTGTTGTTTAAGAGTTCGAGAGAACAAAAAGTGAATTTTCGGCGCTTTAACCGGGTTGGTGGATATGGATGATCCGTCTAGGGGAGTTGGGAAACCTTGAATTCAAACTAATCGTGCACATGGGATCCAGTATCCTGAAGAAACAAATGTATGAACCAATTATTGGTCACCGGCCACCATGGGACTGAATCTCATGACGTTGCTCCATTGCCTTGTGGGTCGTACTTTCATGTCAATGGCTTCGGGTGTGGCTCCCTAAGAAAACCACCTGCTTCGAGCTGGGCACCCAGGCAGTATCACAGCTTACACGCAAATCAAGTGACTTGTGTGGCATATATGTATTCGGTGCCCTATTGTACCAACATTTATGTGTTCAAATAAATAAATTTACTCAATGCATGCTCTATCCGCCCAATCATCCTTCCTAATTTCCTATTCAACTAGAAGTTGATCTGTTCTCTCCCAATAAAAGACTTATACTATGAATATTCAGATCTAATGATAAGTATATTTCCATTTCATATGATCCAACCTTAATTCAGTAGTTGACATTTTCAATTTATGGATATAGTACCAAAAAAACAAAACAAACTTAATATTGTCAATGATACTTGTTTCCAAGTCAACAAATATTTACTTCATAGATATAGTCAGTTTATGAAGATAATGACTTTAAATCTAACAGTAATACCAATACCAATAACAATGACAATAATAATAAATAAATCGATAAATGAAAAACGAAAAATCCGTTTTTTTTTCTAAAAAAAAAACACAACAACAACTTTACTTCCGATTATTTTATAAACAATTTGTAATTCATTCATCTTTCTTTTAGAAGAATAAATGTCATCCTATTGTCATGATGTTTATAAATTGTCATTTAGTTATTAGTATAGGTAAACAGTTATAATGGGAATCTTGTAAAACTGACACTAAATCATTATACATCTATATGCCAACTGTTTCATTATTTCACTAAAGTTTATTTATTATTTTATCTATTTATGATTATAAAATAAACTTGTATTCAGTTTAAATGATCATTGTATATGAAAAGGAAATTGTTGACAGTTCATATTCAATAAGAATGTCATTATAATTGTAATTGAAGTATCTCATATGATTATAATTGAATGTTAAAACTATTATTTCATTTGGCTATTATTATTATGATGATGATGATGGAAATAGTTGATACATCAATAAATAAATGTACAATGAACAATTTATTTTCATCTTCAAGTATTACTTCTGTAAATTAGGTAGAGTAAGTAAAGATATATGATGAAATTGGGTTTGTTAAATCATTGACTCATATTCTCTTGTACTTTTTTTTTCTTCTATGAGTTCTCATATGTAAGAGTTTGTTTATACTAACTCAGAGATATGCTATCACTATGGTAGACTTACTTACTTTCTTACTTACACCTGTTACCGTTCGTCAAAGAGCACAGGCCGCCCACCACCATTCTCCGTTCAACCATGCCCTGGGAAATGCTTTACACTTCCTTCCAGTTATTATTCATTTTTTTCATATCTACTTCTATTTCCCAATGTAAAGTGTTCTTTGACCTTCCTCTTCTCCGCTTCCCTTCACGATTCCAAGTTAGGGCTTGTCTCGTGATACAGTTTCATGATTTCTGTAATGTATTTCCTATCCACCAACTCCATTGTCTTTCACTCATTTTCTCTTCAGCTCGAAACTGGTTTGTTTTCTCTCACAGAAGGTTTTTACTGATGGTATCCGGCCAATCGATGTTGAGTATCTTGCGTAGACAACTATTTATAAATGCTTGCACTTTCTTGATAATGGTTGTAGTAGTTCTCGGGGTTTCAGCTCCGTATAGTAAAACTGTCTTGACGTCCGTATTAAAGATTCTGACTATGATATTGGTTGAGAGTTGTTTTGAGTTCCACATGTTCTTCAATTGTAGAAATGTGTCCTTTGCTCTGTCAATCCAAATGAATGTCGAAAATAACTGAACCAATTATTTTCTATGTTTGACATCGATGAATTGAGTAATGTGTACAAGACATTAAAGTTGAATTATGTAACTGTTTCAGTCAGTAATGAGATGTTTATCAAAAAACGTTACTAAATAGTCTATGCAGTTGAAAACGTTCTAAATAATGTTACAATGGAATACTTGAAAGTATTCTTTTCAAATTAAAAGTTTTGAAGAAGACAAGCGTTTGAGGAAGTCGTTACCCCAGAACATTTATACAGAAATATTGTAGTACATATAATCCAAAAACGAGTACGGATAAATTTGAAAGGGAACACTTGTTCTATAGATGTTCAAATGTGATTTAATTACAAAACAATTTATCAAACGCTGACCACAACTTCAATAAATAAATAATTAGCTATCACGTTTTCATCGACTTACACAACATTATGTCCATCAACGGGAACAAAAGTAGATAAATGGTTGTCATACATCAACTCCAAATGAAAATCCAAGTTCATATATAAGTGCAAAATCAAGTTCATTGGAAGAACGTAAAGATAGGAATCTAAAGGTTTCATTGAGTGTGTCGCAAAGAATTCAAATATCAGAGTTTTCGTAGTTCGATGACACTTAAATATTATTATATTTTTGTTTCACTAAACACTTTCTGATTTTAATATATTCAGATCATGGCTACCAATGCAAATGAGGACACACATGTCGTCTGATTCGAAGATTCTCAGCTGAATGTACCTGCGTCCTAATGGTGATACTCAGAGTGAGGCTTGAATCCAGTACCTCTCAAGTCGAACATCGACGTGTTATCTGCTGAACTTCTGAGTTCACGTTACTATTAACTTCTGAAAAAGATATGAAGTTATAAATTTAAGAGTTTGAGCTTTTTAGCCGTTAATATTAAGAATTACCATTGATTACTTTCTATCGTCGTATGTGTCTTCTGATATATTCTTCATCTAACTTTGTAGGATGCACATATACCAATATAAACTGATTAATTCGTTTCTTCCTCATTTTTACCGATGTAATAAATCATATCCTGCAATATTCTAGAAATATCAACCAAGTATATATACCTCTATTCAAACATATTAAACTTATTATAAATAATCTTACATTACACCTATGAACAATTCCTCTCTTAAATACTTCATTTTTATTGAAATTTTCAAAACAAATCATGTTATTTCATATACTATGATCCTTTGATAAATCGAACCAAATTCGAAAACAACAGCATTAGCGAAATGACACGAATCCACTATATTTCAAAGTTCCTCATTACCTCCAAACAACTTAAATATACATTTGTAATATTACTATATTGAAGCTAGACCAGCATGTTCGTTCTTCAACAGGTATTTCCTTTAGTTCTAGTGAGAAGCAGTGACCAGTGGAGTTCAACCGGGTCTGTTGTGAGATAGTAACTCACTGAAGACATTGGTGGATGTGTTGCTCAATTTTGTGGATTGGTTGAAGTTAGACATTAACACCGATGGATGCCGGCCGGCTCAGTGTTCTAGTGGTTAAGCGCTCGCGCGCGAGACTGATAGGTTCTGGGTTTGAAACTCGCGAGGAGAGGTCGTGAATGCACACAGAAATCACAAAACAGGACGAAACGGCCGTACAGTGGTTCCAGGTTTTCCATGTTGTTGTATATAATAAATGAAAACATTAGCTTATATTGTAACTGAAATAAAAAAATAAAAAAATACAATAGATTCATTACATTCTATAAAATCGTTATACTTATTTTGCTTAAATTTACAAAGGGACCTAATAACATTTAATAGTTGATATACAACCAACTATTAAATGTTACATAAATTTTAATATTTCTCCTATTTATGAAAAAAAACTATACTTTCTAAGCAAAGACAGATAGTGGCTAGTAGTATAATCCAGTTTTATGCGCGTTTCGTCCTATTTGGGACTAATCAGCTGAATGCATCTGCATCTCAGAGCTGATGTTCACTCTGGGACTCGAACCCAGTACTATTCACTCCAAAAGCTATGCTAGCCACTTCAGACG